TCATCACAACTAAATCAGGAAGTACGTGTGTATTTTATTATGTGTGAGTTTGTAAGTGTGTGTCTGTGCATAAGAGCGATTAAGCTCCAATCATATCGGTGCACCTAATCCCTTTACATGGGCCTTCGCAGAGTAAAAGCTCAAAAACCGTATAAGTGGAAGATCCTCGTAGTGAAATCTATGCATTTCTGTGTTAATCTAATGCACAGCGTGTATATTACGGATTAAATTAGACCTTAAAGCACTGACGGTGGGGTGTATAGGAGGAGGAAAAAGAAACTGAATAAAAGACAGAGGAAAAACTATGAGACCAGGTGGTAGGGCTTTTCATTATGTATTAATTGTGGTCTATAAAAGGTCATAAATCAGCTGGAAGTGAACATCCCAGTGTCTCAAAGTCCAAGGTAATGTCTTTAAACGTATTGTAAATCAGTCCAAAACCAAAAGATATTCACTTTTTGATTCTATATCACAGATAAAATCAGGGAAACTCCACATTTGAGAGGCTGGCCATTTTTAGGTAAAACGTTACTCTCCTGATTGTTGGATTATCAAAATGGATCACAAGTGTTGCTGTTCTTAAAGGTGTAAACCTGTTCACGAGTGAGGATTTGTGAAATAAGGAGAATTGCCAGTTCCCTTAAGCATCATAACTGTGGAAGTGAAATTTCCTTAGACACCGGCCAACCGGAAACATTAAGCTTTGATCATTTGGTGACACACACACACACACACACACACACACACACACACACACACACACACACACACACAACACACACACACACACACACACACACACACACACACACACACACACACACACACACACACACACACACACACACACACACACACACACACACACACACACACACACACACACACACACACACACACACACACACACAGGCTGTGCTTTCAAGTCAGATCAACTTCCACTGGGCACAGATTCATCTGGAAATGATTTTGCCAGGTACAGAGAGTTGGCAGAACTTATTTTTCCATCGCAAATAAACACACACACACACACCTCATCTTATCTTCCTCAAGCAGATGTTCCACATCTCTTCATGTCTACATCATACACCCTGACAAAGTGACATGTGTGTGAAAGAGAGAGAGTGATTTCTCAACCCAGCATTCACCAAAGCCTCTTACACAGACCACAGTACAGCAAAACCCCTTCATACTCCACACACATACATCAAAAAAAGTATTTCCCACCGAAAATTTGATTCACATCATGATGGTAGCTACATCTCCTAAAGGTCTCAAATACAAATACACACACACACACACACACACACACACACACACACACACACACACACACACACACACACACACACACACACACACACACACACACACACACACACACACCACACACACACACACACACACACACACACACACACACACACACACACACACACACACACACACACACACACACACACACACACACACAATACACCACTACACTGATTGCCAGAAAGCATTTAAAAAGAGCAGACCAACCATCAGGGACACATTTCCATATCACTCCTCTATTCTGTCCCTGCAAGTTCCTGCACTTCATGGCCCCTCATTTATCTTTTTCTATTCATCATTTTTTTATTTCTATAATAAACATATGAAAGGAGGACAGGACAACATTAAAAAGTTTAGAAGCGTACACATTTCTAAAAACGTATGTGGTTTCCCCCCTCCTTTCTCACATCAAGAGAGAAACTTGTGGTCGGTGTTATGGGCTTGTTTCAGGGCAGGTGTCTTCCTTTTGTATACGACAATATCTCGGGCTCACTTAAATGATTAATATTGTTTAAAGTATTTTTATTCAGTTATCATCTCAATGAATTGATTGTTTATTTGGGCAATACAATGTCAGAAAATATTGAAAAATGTCCAGCACACATTTTAGAGGCCCAAGTCTCACACATGAAAAGCTGGAAAAATGATTGCCAGCTTTGCTTAAAAGATTACTTAAACAATGTATCAGTTATAAAATAGTTGCAGATTCATCAATATGGTACATGTAAGCCTTTGTTAATAGATACTGTGAAAAATGACCTTACCTTCAAATCTGCCTGATGCAATTACAGTGCAGCCCTCTGGACATGATCTGTGAATTCACCATACAACTTTGTGTTATTATTCTCCATTAATGTTACAAAGGAAACTGGAAACATGAATTAGCTTTTCTTTTTTGAGTTGCTCTTCATGTTAATACACACAAATAGTAAGGACAATAAAGCTAAACAGAGCTAAAGATAAACATATGACTGCTATGTACATTTATGAAAAGAAAGATAGATAGATAGATAGATAAATAGATAGATAGATAGATAGATAGATAGATAGATAGATAGATAGATAGATAGATAGATAGATAGATAGATAGATAGATAGATAGATAGATAGATATTGAGACAACGTGTGTTTACAAAGTATTTTAAGGAGTAAACTAACTTACCCATAAGCAATGTTTGTATTTACGTCTGCATAACGGTCCGTGAGCCACGCGCAGAAAGACAGAATCAGCTCGAGACCGTAGTTATTTACAGCTAGTTAGCCCTAGGTTAGCGGAGGCTAGTGTTAGCTTGCTAGCTAGGAAAGTTAGCCCCTTGTATAATTATCAGATAACGTTTGTTGTTTTTCCTTGGCCAAACTTATCCGTGGATACTTTCAAGAATATTTGATATTCACTGCGTTTATATACCGCTAAATATTCCAGCAGAAGGCAGCTAAGGAGGAGAGACCTAGCTAAGGTAAGCTAACGCTAACAGGTAGGTTATGTTTGCTAAACTCCGCAAACACCTGATGACGTTGATCTAATGATCTAAAGTTCTAAACTGACTGTTTATATACAATACGTTTGATAACCATCAAGTCAATTACGTTTTTTAGGCCTACTTTAAGCTCTTTATCCACTCTTTTTAAAACATGTATTATCTCTTATTTAATGCTGCTCTGTTTTCATTAGTTTTAGACACTGTCAGTCAATTTATACAACTTGATTGTGATGCGTATTATGCGTAGACACTTGGTCAGCATGAATAATCACACATATGCATACACATTTAACACTTAAATCCAGTCACATTAAAGAAATATGAAGTATGTGTGAGTGTTTGGTAGAAACCTATAATGGCTGTATTGAACAAAACACAGCCAACCATTATACACATTGTAAATCAATCAGGTTCATTTGGTAGAAATTGACTACCTGATGTTTTATACAGAGTAAAATTAAGGTTATAAGCCTGTCTATTTGATTAATGATGGTATGACTGTGATGTAGTGTTTAAGTGTACAATCATACTGTAAAACGTTTTGATAAGTCTGTCATGGTCATAGAAATGCAGTTGAACAGACACCAATTCAATACAGATGTTGCAAACAGAAGCTATATTATTAAGGTACTGGACTGAATCTGATTTACTTTATCTATGTTTAAAGTGGGCTAACAGGTTATATAAGATCAAAGGTGTGAAGAGGAAATATGTGTGATCTGGGGGGTGAGGACAAGAGAAGAAGTGAGTCAGAAAAAGATGAGAAAGGCCCAAGATCAAACGTCTTACTGACTTTTACAGAATATACCAATTTTTACCGGTAAATTAGCCCCCTTCCTGTGAAGATATCCAGGGTTCAGGACATTTGATGTTATAGCTTGGGTGATAAACAGCACTTGGCTTTTGATCGGAAGGGATTGGTTCTGTCAATAAATAAACGCAGTCAGAACCTTCAGGTGTTTTCAACAAGACATGTCCTTTTACACTTATATTTGGAGTTCAAATCTGGCATCGTGCGTCAGTCTTGTTCTTGCTCACAGATTATGGGGATGAGCAGGAGGGTATGACTGTTTGTGTGTGATGTGTTTAAACCCTGACAGGCGAATGATGTAAGGCAGGCCCAGTGGCTGATGAAGAGCAACATGATGACAGAAAGTTGAAACATCCCATCCTCTTTAAATGAATTCTTCACTCAAATATGAAAGGGAACTTGTAAACAAAATATGCCCTTTTAAATGCTTTGAAATGATGTTCATAAGAAAACCTTGGAAACAGGTTGATTAAAAATGTTGCTTGTGTGAAGAAGCTCCCCTTTTGTAAAGCTGTTGAGCTTAGAATAATTACACAAATAAGTTAGGTGTTCAATTTATCTCTGAGGCATTATGCTTCAAGATAGTTGTGTCTAGGACTGCAGGTCATGACCACTTTTATAATGTGTCAGTCTATTAATCAAAGTTGATTCAAATCACATATTTTGCCTAACCAATATGTCAAAACCCATAGATTTTCTTGTGTGTTCTCACCCGCTGAGGTGTGGAAACTAAATGACTAATTGTACTGATGTGTGTCAGAATGGCGGTTGGTAAATTAGGGTTTTCCCTTCAGTAATGATGATGATGATGGTGATCAAAGACAGATTCACACAGACATACATTCATAATGACAGCTTGATTGACTCTAAGGCGTGAGGGGTTTTCCCCTTCCCGTCCCTCTGGCCACATCCCCCCTGTTGACTGATTCTTGCGTTATAACAGTGGGACTTCCATCTGATGACGCTTGTGAATCTCAGGGGGAAAAGCATCTATTTACTTTTGGATTAGGCAAAGTTCCATTACAACTTTCTGGCCAAAACAGATTTTGAAAGTCTAATTTTCACTATTTTAGTCATTAGTGCACACAACCTAATTGAGTTGTTACATATACCTCTTCAGAAGTCAGGAAAAGCCCCTGGGTTATGTGAAAACACAACCATTTCTAACCTAGATTCTTACATAATTTCCATCTTTATCATATCCTATTTATTCGTGTTCTATTTACAGAGGGGCTTACTGCTCATGATAATAACTACAGCTAATGTGCTATAATGTTGACGACAGTGCATGTTGATACAGGACATGTATTTGAATTGTATGCAAATCGAATGGAAAAAAGGTATCTGCTGTTTATTATGTTATTGACCACTGTTGTATGCTGTGCTTTCAGATGTCAATGGACAACAGAAAGAGACCTGTGGTCTCCTCCAACTCTGGTAACTCGGTTTACTGGTCCTCCTCGTTTACGCGGCAACCAGCCAGGATCCTGATCGTGGAGGCACTGCCCCCCTGGTGGTCAGAGACATGCATGGTGCTCTGTGATGCTCTGGAGAACTTCCTGTCCCTGGCATGCAGTCTGGACGGCCCCTGCAGGATACCGCTGCTCAGCCTGTACGCCATCAGCAGGCAGCAGGAATGTCTTCTCCCGTTTGTGGTAAGATAGATCAAAGTTACGTGTTTTATGCTGCTTTCACTTTATGTCACACTTTTATTCCTTTGTCTTCTTCCCTCTGTATCTGTAGCAGGTCCGTGGTAACCTGGCCAGGCTGCGTTCCTGTGTGGAGGAGCTGAGGTCTATTCCAGGTGAAGGATGCGTCAGAGGAGCAGCCAGAGGAGGAGAGCTGCTGCGTCGGGCGGTGCTGGACAGTCTGCAGCAGTTCAAGCAGTACATCAGACACACCGGCACTGGCATCCAGGCCAGCAACAACATATCTGTGGAGGTGACCCTCTTCATGCACAATCATCACAACAAGAAAACTATTTCTTATTTCTGAATCACACACTGTGAAAAAAGTAAGCTAAACAACCGCTATAAAGCTTTTAAAAACTAAAACTAAATAGTTTAGAAACTGTTGTTGAGTACAGTACTGAGCAATTCTCATTCACCTGAGCTCTGTTCATTCTGGCCTCCATGTGTGGAGATGCTGGGGATTGAACCCAGGACCTCATCCTGTACATGCGAAGCATGTGCTCTACCACTGAGCTACCCCTCCTTATTTCAACTTTTATGTTACGAGTAGGGATGGGTATTGTTTGAAATGTATCGATTCCGATTCCGGTTCTTATCGATTCCCCGTCCGCCCTTACCTTGTATTCCACCGGGTCACCGCGGCGCAGACGGACCCGGTGGAATACAGGGTCTACCGCGTTTAGGAACCGTTAAGCAGAACCTAAATTGTGTATTTTGTATGGGTACAATGGGCATTTTCTTATAGATTCTCATCTGGAACCGAGTTTCGGTTCCCAACCCTAGTTACGAGTGGCATCTGCAAGTAAACACAAGACATATGTTGACAAATTGGAAATATTCAAATATGCTTTGATGAACCCAGGACCTCATAAATGAGCTACATCTCCATGTAAATAGGTGTCAATGTTTAGAAGAAAAGTTGCGCTGAGTCCCTATGTTAACTGTTAGGGAGTTGGAAAGATTCAAATATGCTTTGATGGGAGGGAAGGTTGTGTCATTTGCTAGTTAGTTGCAAGTAACTACAGTATCTTCTGAACTCTATGCAGCAAGAAGTAGAGGTGCTATTGTTGTGTTCTCTTCTGTTCGGCAAGGTCACAGCTGGTCAAAAGATTCTCTGTGTGTGTTTTATACAAGCACAAGCATATCAGATGTTTTCTAACATGCAGTAATCATATTTCAGTGCCTTTGTTGGCAAATGCCTTTGTTTACATAGGGCTACTAGAGGTTAAAAATGTAGAGATTACCTTGAAGTGTTGTGTTCTGTTTGGCTAATCAAAGCAGGTCAAACACACTGTGTGTGAAATATATTTTAATGAATACAACACAATTGTTAAAACAGCATTTGCTTGACAGCTAGTATGACACTCAGGAATGTTCTAACATGTTTTTATAAACAGCTTGTTTCCATATATCACAGGAAATACAGGAATTATTTTATAACCTGAACTATTTTAAAGTCAGGCCTGGAGATGCTGGGGATTGAACCCAGGACCTCATACATGCGAAGCATGCGCTCTACCACTGAGCTACATCCCCTCTGAATACTAGCCATCCCATCAACTATAAATGATACAAGTCACAAATGTTACCAATACGTTTAGACAAGATGCATGTTTTACATGCAACTTCCCAGTAGGGCACTATATGACAGAGGAGGTTAAGGAAACATTGATAGACAGTGCTAACAAGCATCGAGACAGTTATGCTGTTAGGCAACTGTCACAACATGTCAGACTCGCTATCTTGTTTTGTGTCTGAAGTGCTCTTAGAAAAGCCTCGTATGTTGAGACGTGATTTGTTGTTTCTTATGTTATTTAAAAGAAGTGGAGATGCTGGGGATTGAACCCAGGACCTCATACATGCGAAGCATGCGCTCTACCACTGAGCTACATCCCCCAGGTGTGAATGTTTAGAAGAAAAGCTGCGATGAGTCCCTACGTTAATTGTTGAGAGTTGGAAAGACAATTGGGAAGTTTCAAATATTCTTTGATGGGAGGGAAGGTTGTGCCATTTTTTTAGTTAGTTACAGGTAACCACTGTGTCTTCTGAACTCTATGCAGCAAGAAGTGGAGGTGCTATTGTTGTGTTGTCTTCTGTTCTGCAAGGTTACAGCTGAGGCCTGTACTACGAAGCCGGATATTCGCTTAGCGAGCTAACTTCAGGGAAAACTCTGGGTTTCCGGTCCTACGACGCTGGTTCTCTTCTTACCGGGCTAGATCTCCATGGTAACTTATGCTGAACGGCTAAGGTTTGGTTCCAGGACAAGAGATCAACTCAGTGAAAGCACCGCCTGCTGACCAATCAGATCTCCGTGTGCGGAGTTTAAAGCGATCAAAGTCATATTACAGGATAAAGGAAATACAGTTTAAACTGCCGTTGCACGAAAGACAGCCGGCAAAAATCAACTGACTGTGTGAACGTGAACATTTATAGAATATCACCTCCCATGTTCAGAGCAATCTGACTAAAATAACATTAGCGTTAAGAAAGCTTACTTAAATATCTGCTACAACATAAGTAACCGGATCAAAGTAACATTACGTACAGTCCGCGGCACTGTGAGTGCAGACGTCGATGTGTCCCATTATCATTCATATCACATCATAATGTATCATATACAGTCAGCTCAAGAAGTCAGCTTCTTGAGCCGTATCTGGCCGTGGAACACTTACAGTGTCACATACTGTATGCAGAACACATTAAGTTGACGAAACACTTGAGTCAAATGTAATTAAAGTCAGATCCACTCGTGTCTTGGACGGGGCAGTGATATCATAAACCTGTTAATGTACGCATTCAAACGCTTTTTCTTTTACCAGCTGTATTCACCTTGCAGGTGCAGCTATGTGGCTTTTATCCTGGATAAAGTGTTTAAGTCATGGATGTTTAAAGTTTAACTTCTTCATATGTCTAATATTATAGTTTACTTTTCATTCAGGAAGTATGACGCTGCGCTGTCAGTACGCCGTTTCTCAATGGGTGCATTTCACTTCTCTTATTTTTCATTTCCTCACTCCTCGGTCTCGGTATCATCGGAAGTTGATTTGTCTGCGCCATCTTGAGTAGCGTCCCAGTGGCCTTATTTGTGCCAAAGGACTGAGGATCGAGGAGCGATAACGGAGGAGCGATAATCGAGGAACTTCCAGACCATCCTCCGGTGAAATCCTCACACACTCGCCCCCATTTCCCTGCTTCTCATGGTTTCCTTGCGTCTCTCCATGCTTCCCTGGTGGGAGGGACTAGTCGCAGGGAAACAACGCAAGTGAGGGACGCAAGGAATCCATTTAACCGAAGTGAAACGCACCCAATGTCGAGTATACCTGCTGCAGAGCCACTATTTCAAGTATACTACGTCATCGAGTGGCGCCGAAGGACTGTTTAAATGCATGTTAAATGCCCAGCATTCGGCGCCACTCGATGACGTAGTATACTTGAAATAGTGGCTCTGCAGCAGGTATACTCGACATTGAGAAACGGCCCATGTTTGTGATTGATCAAATGTTGCTAGCCCCGCCCCTTTCCTGTGAACGCGCACTCAGCCGGACAGAGAAACCCTGGCTTGAGTTACCGAGTTGATAAGAAGCCTTCTCGCTTAGCGAGAGCGCATTTGTTTTGGATTAGGTAAGACAGCTAACTCAAACATATCCAGGGTATGTTGAACTGGATTCATAGTACAGGCCTCTGGTCTAAAGATGCTCTCTGTGTGTTTTGTATAAGCATATCAGATAGAGAAGCTGGAGATCGAACCCAGGACCTCATACATGCAAAGCATGCGCTCTACCACTGAGCTACACCCCCTCCTTATTCCAACTTTTATGTTATGTATAGGAAATGGAAGTAAACAAGTTTTTACAAATATATTACCTGTTGGGGTGTTGTCTGACAAAGGAGGTTAAGTAGAAATCCTGTTATGTTGATACAACAATTGTTGCTTCTAGTGTCTTTTACAAGAAGTGGAGATGCTGGGGATTGAACCCAGGACCTCATACATGCGAAGCATGCGCTCTACCACTGAGCTACATCCCCTCTGTATTTGAGAAGAACAAACACAACCAACAATCTAAGACCAAACAAACCTTTGAGTTTTGCACAGCTTTTTACAGGAAGTAAATTCTATGAAATATATTTATTTTCTTTACAGATTTATTATGAAGGATGATCCCCACTTCAGACCAGCACTGACTGAACAGACCCCTATGATATTTAATCCTTGAGCTTAATGTAATGTAGGGAAAAGGAGTTTGTTGGTGTGGTGAAGTAGCATTAAATCATTAAGAGTTGTTGTCTTGTACAGTCTATGATAACATTGTTCCCTCATCTTATTTGTTTCCCCTCATTTTGTACACCACTTCTTTATGATCAAAGTGGACAGAATTTTGACATAAATTAAAGCCCATAGCTGTCACTTTGATACAGCACTTTTAATTCCTATTTATGTTATGTCCTTCAAATGCAGCTTTGAACTTGTTCCAGGCTAACAACATAAGACACAACCACAAAATAACACATGTCTGAAAAGTTTAGGGGTGAAGGAATATCGGCATTAATAAGACTGCCCATTTGTTACATTTAAATGTTGGACATATGGGCAGCAAACTGAGTCAGTCTTTCTTTTTTAATTTTCAACATGTCCTCTGGGTACAAGGCGCTGGGTTGTTGACAAGGATTCCTCAAATCCGACCAGCTTTATTAGGAAGCTCTGGACAGATGATTACATTTAAGAGCCACTGTTTCCGACAGCAGCAGATATGAATAGCACCATTAGGAGACAGAGGGAGACACTAAGCAGAGACAGGGCTCTGTGTGTGTGTGTGTGTGTGTGTGTGTGTGTGTGTGTGTGTGTGTGTGTGTGTGTGTGTGTGTGTGTGTGTGTGTGTGTGTGTGTGTGTGTGTGTGTGTGTGTGTGTGTGTGTGTGTGTGTGTGTGTGTGTGTGTGTGTGTGTGTGTGTGTGTGTGTGTGTGTGTGTGTGTGTGTGTGTGTGTGTGTGTGTGTGTGTGATCCACTTACTCAATACATGTCCTGATTCATACATATGTTTTAAGCATTCATATGTGTGTGGATGTCAGCAGCAGATTCTGCTTTTGGCCAAACAGCAGGAAGCGAGAGCAGAACCCATCAATAATCCCATTATAATCATCATTTACTGTTAATGGGATTTAGGAAGTACTGTAGGGACATTAGTTTATCGGTTTCCCCCCATTAGACATGTAAATGCAACAGGAAACTAATATCATCTCTTTCCGTCATTAGACATACTGAGTGCCTATTTAAATACGCTCTTACAGCAGAAATATTCATTATGAAAATAATTTGGATAACTAGAAAATGTACAGCATCACCAGCTGTTTTGTTTATTCCCGGCACCATGACCGTGAGATAATAATAGCTCAGTCACAGAAAACATTAACATTTCAGATCATATGTTAAGATGGCAGTTAAAGTTGTTTATCTCATGAAAACATAATTTCAGTGTGGAGCTTTGTCATTATAACATATAGTGTGCCACTTTTCAGTTAGAGGGAGTTTGCTTGACTCAGACTTTGACAGCGGTGCTTACATCATGTGTTTAATTTAGTAACAGTAATTAACTGTATGTCACGTCTCTAAAGTACAAAAGAAACTCAACAGTCAGTCCCAAAGAATGCTTTGCTGTGGTGATGTTGTGGCTTGTTCTTTTGAACATATGACAGCTTCAAACACAAAGTCCATCTTTCATAACGCCAGCTGTAACATTTCAGAAGTGGGAGTTTAGGAAGGAGTTGTGGGGAGGAATGTGACTTAATAATATTAAAATTGTAAATGCTTTGAGGTTTTTTATTGTAGTTAATAAGGAGCAACAGTGTTAACTCTCCTCTTTAATCTGAAGCGAGACATCTTGTTTCCCTGATAAATTCAAGTATTCAGGCCTTTGATTACTAAAATCCTTCATCCGGTCAAATGTATAGTTAAAAACTACCAAGATCTAAAAAAAGCTTGTAAAAATGTGGCCTTAAACTTACTAAAAAGTCATATATGAACACTTTTTGGCAGAAAACTACAATGCTGGAGCATGTGTAAAGGCAATACACTGCCATTACAGGAGACAAAATGAAATGCATTACTTTGAATCACCTTTCTTTGGGTTTGAAAATTGTTGGGAACACTTAGTATAATGTGTGGTAGCAATTGGAACACAACTTAACAAAATATTAAACTAAGTGTAGTCCTTTTTTGAACATATAATGCCGAAATGTTAGATATTATGGAGTTTAACTGTTCTCATTTGAGTTAAATCATTTGTATTTTAGATTTGCTGGGGTATTTTTTGCATTACTCTCTGCTATATTGACAGGTGACTGTGGTGACCAGCCAGCCAGGGAGGGGTGTTGTTCGTCAGCTGGAGAAGGGGCTCAAAGACGCCGACCTGGTGTCACTGAAGCGGCTCCTGGTGGTTCAGATCTACAGTGCGGCAGAATGGGGCCAGGACAACCCCTCACCTGAAGACACACACACTGAGACTGAAGGTAGAGATTTACACACACACTTTCCTTTGTCTCCCCCCTCACCTTCCACAGTACTCTCCCCCTGCGCTTTCTTATTCATCTTCACTAGAGTTGTGTAGCGGTGCCCCATTTATCACACTGCATGTTTTACCGTTAGTTACATATCTGCAGTCAACACTCGGGACACATTTCACAAATTATAGAAGTTGGCTTCAATCCAAACATTTCCCAATCCTCTCAGAAACTCCATAATGATATGCCACTCTTTGTAATTACACGAAGGTTCAAGTGGTGAGGTCTGAATAAGTGGAGAGTGCAGAGAGTATTGGGATGGAAATGAAGGGGAGGGAAAGAGGAGACGGAGAGAAATAGAAAGCGAGAGAAAAACACGCAGGGGGAGGGAGGAGAGGAAAATGAGAGCAAGTGTAAGAGAGGGTAAACACAGGCAGTGGAGTCTGTGGAGAAAATATATTAATGCACCATCTGAAGTATTCATTCCACGGTGATAAACACTGAACTAACAGCAACTTTGTTTTTCTCAGAAGTGTCTGGGTATTAATGAGCTTTATCTCACCTGGCACAGTTATGTCAGTTATGTAATCCCGCCTTGTTTGTCTTCACCTCCTCGTGGTTATTTTTGACTCAAATTGAAAGTGAAATACCGCAGATGTGACCCTCTTCTCTACACTAAACTTGCTTGGATGTTGTTTTGGTGAAATAAATCTGCTGTTACAGTGAATGGGATGCCATTTGTGAGTGACATAAAGTATATTAGGACACATTTGTGTTAAAAGCAGATAGTATCCAGTTTTAATGTAGTTTTACTAGATAATTGTAGTTCTCAGGACGTTTGTTAAGGACCCTTTGGCTTGATTTCAACATCATTTGGAAGAAAAAGGGTGTTTATTCTGGATAGTAGGAAAACAATCTGTATTTATTTCTTCTGCAGCTACTCTATTTCACTTTCCTTTGTTTTTATTGTATTCCTGGATAGATATGAGTGATGCCTATTCCTGTCTCTCTCCAGTTTCAATAAAAAAGCAATTATATTTAACAAAGAAATGTTTGGAATAGAGCCTTGGAGACGTTGTTATGTTGCTACCACAGTGTGATGATATTGAGGATGCCTGCACCCTCTTAGCTGCTGGGACCAGATCACTGTGTTCCTCCAAGTGTTTACCGCCCTGAGTGGTTCAAACATAACAGTCTCCAGCTCTTTGATACTACAGCCCACACTCTCTCCATTCCGTCAACAGCAGCGTGCTACGAGACCACTGCTGTCCCACATAAAGCTGCGTTATTAAAAACAGTTCTTTCCACAGTGGAGAAACATTATTGATTCGACCATAACATCTCCAAACACATTGTTATTGGTCGTAAAAGCATGTAGAAGGCTTCTCTACTTAGTCAGATTCACTCAAAGTATGGGTGTTTTTTGTTCCTGTGTGACAGAGGTGTCAGTTTCAATAGGCATATTCTGTGTTTCCTAATAAATCTAAAATGATTGAAATCGGAGACATGGAAAATGTTTTCAGATATTTCATAATTGCAACACAAATGTCGTATCTCGCAATGTGGTGAAATTAAAGAGACGTTGGTGTATCCGCCCTGTGATTCAGATCTGCTTCACCATTTTTGGGGCTCTTCCTGTGCCCATGTAACACCCTTCCACTAAGTTTTCATAAAAATCAGGCAAGTTTTTTCCAGAATGTTGATGACAGACAGAAGGACTTAAAAAAAAACATCCCTGACAGATTTTCTTATTATAATCTTCCTTTTTTGTTTGCTGTAGTAATTGGCTTAGTAATATATGCAGTTAAACCTATAGGACCATATGATTTGCATGAAAACTATCGCCCTGATTGTGCTCTATATTTTATATCAGTCCGGGACATTACTTAGAGTAAAACCACAAATACTTTGGATCAGGGATGTCAAACTCAATTTTATCACGGGCCACATCAGCATTATGGTTGCACTCAAAGGGCCGGTTGTAACTTTAAGACTATATAAAAAGACATATATAAATATTGAATATATATAAACTAATGTATTATATTACATTATTGCCTCTGCATTGGATTATTATCGGATAGGGAAATAACTTCTTAATTAACTACGTCTGAAAGCAGAAGTCTAGGGCAAATAATTGCAAGTCTCTTCAGTGAGAATGTCACAAAATGATTTAAAAAGAAAAGCCACATTCTGGAAAAACATTGATTGTGACATTTTGAAAAAGAGAAGTGACATTTTGAAAAGAAAATCTATTTATGAGAAAAAGGCCAATTTGGCCGGATTTGGCCCCCGGGCCTTGAGTTTGACACCCCTGCTTTGGATGAAGTTCTGTGAGAACATCAAATGGGGTCAGTGCTACGTCCAAGAACCCCTATTGACCTGAGAGTTCATCAGGCTGAAGACTGAAGCTGGGTTAAATCAAAGATAAGAAGTTTAGCTGTCTGGCCTGTGTGATTTGTACTCAGTATTTCTGAATGCTATAAAGGTCATGAAATTGTGTTTTTAAGCTACTGCTACACTAGTGAAAATTGACATGGCCAACAAATAGTTAAAATACCTGCAGTTGGGGTGTAACCCACAAGAGTAGATACAAAACTGCTCAAAATGACAGTTTACTATTTAAAATATGTCCGGTTTATTCCCTCAATTTGTAAATCACTTTGTAATTTTAAGACATGTGTAAGTAATACAGCAAATCTAATACGCTGATATTTATGGAGCAATGTTTATTCTGGCAATTTCTGGAATCTGGGTGCGTTGTGGAATCTTAATAGTCTCCGTGTGTGTCAGATGCTGGGAGGGAATGCTCTGTGCAGCAAATACGTCTCACTGAACACCAGACTCTTTATTTGAGCTCCCTGTGTAAGTCCATGGTGTGCAGTATATTATAGGAAGTGGGTGGAGTATCCATTTTTATTTTTGTAACAAAGTAAACATTTTTAACTCCCTCTAATCGTCACTCACTTACCTCATGCTAAGAAAAGTGGTCCCAACTCTTGTCTTGAATAAAGATTGATTACATAACTTTGTATGTGTAAGTGTCAACTGCCACAAACACACACATTTCTTACTTTTCAAAAACCTGACAGCCGTGTAACTCGTTTAGCCTCCTAATTTGAAAGTGTGAACATTTTGGGTGTTCCTCACTTCTGCTAAGTGCTAAGGGTTAAGTTTGACAGGTTAATGTTGGATCTTAAGCTATTTCCTCATATGAACTCCTTGTATCCGGAGAAGCAGGTCCGTACATTGTCTGGAGTTTCCCTTTCACACAAGTAGCACACAACAGGAGATCAGTCTGTGTCAGAAGTGGTCTCACTTACTGAAAATACTTGGTTTGATTTAGACGAGGGGTGGTGCCTGAGTAGGGTGTGAAAAACGGAGTCTCCTGCCATTGCCTGAATTTGTCTAAAAATGCAGACACTTCCATTCTCAAATACAGCTCTTTCAGGTAATGGCTATACAGTTGTCCACGCATGCAGTTGTGATGGTTAGGGTTAGGGTATTAAAGCACAAACATGTGTGTGAGTGTCTTAAGAGCCACCGCCTTGATAAGCATCCTGTTTTTGTTGAATTTCAGCCAGGGTTTCCTTGAATCCCCGGCCTGATATGTAGTTGTACATTCGAGCAGCAGGGACATGGGTCACAGAGCAGAGAGAGACAGAGATGATTATGGCACTGGTGGTTTTGGTTTTCCTTCTCACAGTCAAGTTGTTGACTGAAGAACATCGGACAAGTTGTCCCACACTGGATGCTTTGGATCCTTAGGGAGAGACAGCGGCAAAAGCACTTTATTCCCATTGTTCGGATTCATAGTAAAAAATGTAAATGCCTTGTGGTTTCAGCTCTTAAGTTATACTAAAATCTGACAATATTGGATAACCCCAAATAACTCAAATGTCTTGAGTAGCATCATTTCTCATGGCTGTTGCATGTCATACTCCTCTCCCTCCCTGCATTTCCTGTTTGTTTATGTCCACTTTCTACATAACTAGTAGTTGTAACTGCATTCCTCCACATGGTAGACACATACTGTAGGATACTGTGTCATAAGAGCCAGACGGATAATAACCGTTGCAGACAAAACGTAAGGTCTATAAGTAACTAGCTTCTTTTTTAGCTGGGCATTCCCCAGGGATGTGGCTCGTTCGCACTAAACGGTGCTGAAGAGTTTTTCTTTTCTTATTCCCCATGATGAAATCGAGTTCAGAGTTTGTGGAGGAAATGATGCAATATAGCATTTTAAGAATAAAGTTGGCTGGCCAAAAAGGGATGTTAGAAGGATAAGTAAAAACAAGGTTGTTACTGAGGGGGTGTTTGTTTCAGTCTTCGCTGTATTTAGTGTCTGCTGACCTCTTGTGCATTCTGTTGATGCAATTAATTAACAGTCGTTGTTTTATAAAATGGTCAGACCTCAATGACAAGGTAGAGGTGAAGGCAGAACAGAGAAGGGCAGAGGAAACAACGCCTGCCTTTGAAAAGAGAGAGACTGGCGCATTTCCACTACACGGCCTCGCTCGGCCTCGCTCTGTATGGCTAGGCCTCGTTAGGACTGGCTCACTTTATGGCGCATTTCCATTACAGTTTAGGAACTGGGGTAGTATCTATAGTAACGCAGTGTAGGCGGAGCTGTGACGTCATCTTCAATGAGAACCCCAGAAAAACAACACAGCCGTTAGCTGTTAGCACTCAGAGCTCACAGCTCCTCATATATGTTCAGAAACTAGACAAAAGTTAAACAAGTACAAACCACAGACTGCCTGTGTCATGGCGAATACAGTCGCTGCTTTATTTATGTCTGTATAGGCCGTTGTTGTGAGTGTGGACGGTCGGAGCATATATTGCGTTAGCTTAGCCAATCTCCATTTAGAAAACACGCATTTTAAAAGGTTTTTCGCCTGCCGTCTGTCTGCAGACTTGTCAAAGCATTAATTCATGGTTTTTACTAACCGGTATCAGTATGTTGTTACTTCGGCATCATTTTGAAACGTGTATTACAATTAAATCAC